CCTTAAAATGCCAAAGTCTTTGTCACACATTTACACGTGAAAATACGCCATATAAACTGAGAATATGTTGTTAATCACAAGGCAGATAGTGAAAATTATAGCATTTATAAGCTCCTAATATTTTCTCGCCCAAGCTCTTTGATCCTTGAGAAGATATTAGAGAGTGACTTTGAAGTACCTTTGATAGGTGATTCATGTCTAAAATATCGTCCCACCTGCGGTCACGAATAAATATTCTGCCAGTGAAACCTCAATTATGTGGGTCTTAGTCAATCTCGCGGTATAGCGAAGGCTTGACAAAAAAAATAAGTCCCCTTTTCCCATTTTTACACCTTCTGCATGACAGTTAGGAAAAGTGAAGACGTATTGGGCATTTCTCCCTTTCTTTAATCCCGATTTTGACCTTCCTTTGAAGGTTATGAGTATTTACAAGTTTTGCAGCTAATTTAGCCTCGCAGCCAATTCATTGTTCGATCTCGAAAATAAACGCATTGTTTAATCGCTTTCCGTTAATTACGACAAAAAAGTACCATGTTTCCTAAATCCACTATTTGGAAGGTGATTAGGTATCACAAGAAATGACATAAGTGATAATTAGGTCCTCCTGAAGGGGAGAAAAAAGCACTTTCTTTTAGGAGAACCTAACTACTAAATCGCGTTTTAACCCACCAAAGTCATGTATCTTCAACATGACATCGTACATCACCAAGGCGAATACCCAGTCGGAGCTGTAATCTGTTTTAGTCTAACGTGCGCTACTCAAAAGCCTGTTAAAAAGTTTGTGCTCTGCTAGAATGAGACGAAGAAGAGGAAAACGATGAGAAGAATGAAGTGGGCGTAGGATAGAAACTCTACTATCCTACAAATATAGCTTGGGCACCATGAGTGTTTACCCTGAAAGGTCGCATATCACGGCTCTGACGTATGACTGTATGTGGAGTAAGTGTTTATGCCACAGACCCCCATTAATTATGTGACATTAAAATGTGTCATTATTGAGCCTCCTGCTTACAATTCACTGGGGCAAGCCCTTGCCAAAAGGGCCACCTTCAAGGTCACACTCAAGGTCTTACTGGTATCATTTCCTGGTTTTTTTCGCCTTACGATTCCCCATTAAAATTAGAATTTTCCACATACCCCTAATGTCTCCTTCCAAATGACGATGCTATTGTAGCTTCCGGTAAAGTCACCTTATTCAATAAGAGAAGGAAAAACTGGGTAGATTGAGGGGTGCATTTAAATTTGCGACTATAAAATAATGTCAAGTATGTAAAATAACACTTTCTGACATTTTAAATGGTCACTTCTGCTGCCCTACTGAATTTTATCGGGGCGAGCACTTTCTTATGGGGGAATGAAGGGGAGGACCATTCAAGAAAACAAATTATAAAGCCCTCCGTTAGGTCCTATAGTGATTAAAAACTAATTTAAATTTTAATATTTGGAAGGATTACGCAAAGATATGCACAAAGTGGAAGTAACTTCACCCCAAGATGATATGTGAGCATTCAAAAGAGAGATTCCGCATTCATCCAAGTACTCTAAATCATTTTGAATTTCTTCCTTTTCATTTGAACAACGCGTACAGAATGAATCCTCGTTTTTTTTAGTAAACCGCGATCAGAGAGCTGTTCAGCTTGAATGTGAAAAATAAAAAGAGTTTTGCTTTGATCTCCACCGCATTTGTGGAATGACAGCTTCAATTAGGGATGTCTTCATCCACTAAGTGACGAAATGTATGCATACATTTGTCTATATGGAGATTAAATTGTCTTTTCAGAAGTAAATAATGGTGTTTTACGTTTTAAGTCTGCCAATCATTGCAATCGGCCTGACTTAAGACATACACACTCAGCCAGAAAAGGGCGATGGACTTTAAGCAGAAAGATGCGAAAACAGTAGGCCCTTCACTTGCCATGGTTTTCACCTCGAAGTGAATTTACAGACATTGGTCTACCATGACAACACTTTATGTCGTTAACCGACCACATTATTGACCTTTGAATTAGGCTACTCAGGCAACACTGTTTTTACAACCGGAAGAAAGAGAACATTTTCTTGTTGTCCAAAGAGAGTAAAGGCCTCAAGTTAGCAAGCGAGAGAATAAAACTTGCATTTGCTATCAAAAGAAGGGAACAAATTGGTGCCTTATTTTCGACAGACTTTAAATAAACCTCACCTATGACATTACAAACGTCACTTTTTCTCCTCAAAACAAAAAAGTAAAGCGACTTTTTCATGTTTGGTGCATTCAGGACTTTGTACGATATTCCAGAAGACACCAGTGCCTTTTGGTAGGTAAGATTTTGGCTCGAGATAAGGAGGAGAATAAGCCTTTTGGTCTGGGTTTCGAAGACAACGCCCATATTCCAAAATGCCGTAAGTAAAAGTCCAAGTTATTTTGTCAATCACCAGTCAGTTCTCCAATTGACTTTCGTTTCTTTTGAATAACACAACTGTTCTTCTCATCATTGTAACAGTGACGGCCCCATTTCCGAGCTTACTTTCACTGTCGATTTGGTAGGCAAGAGCCAATGTTTTTTGTCGAACTATTTGTTATGGGTACTTCTCTATCCGGTTAAAGCGCCAAAAATGTTTATTTATCTAACTTAGTTAGGTCTCCTTTCGCAAGGACTAAAGGGATAATGTTGTGTCCTAATTCCGGTTCTTACATGAAGGTGACACCTGGCACATGTTTGGCTTGAAATGTACTACTTTCCGAGGTCATAGGGTCAAATGCGAAAAAAGGTCACCCCAACCAATAGTATCATGTCTATCTGAGACACCGACAGTTATGTACTGGAAGAAGAAATGGAGGCAGGAGAGAAGGTAGAGGGGGAATCATGTTTAGACCACACTTGCTACAAATCACTGTAGTGGGAATGATGTCATTAGGCAGTTGCTTTCTCCGTCAAGCATAATCATGGACTTTTGATTCATGTATGTAGTCATGCACTTGGAATTGGGTAATTGCCCAGTATGTAGCCACCCCAATTAAAAAACGAGTGAAAAATCGTCTTGTAATAGGTAGAGGAGCCTTAATAAGGTGTAGGAGGATGTCGAAATGGTCTGTGAGGAAGGCCTCCCTGTGACTCACTTTACCACTGTCAATCGTACTCCCGTACAAACGATACCTACCAGAATGTAGAGCGATGGCTGAACATTAACAAAGCTTCGAACGGGTGCCTACATCCAAGCGACTCATTTTTGCGCGTATACAACAGGCCGACAGGTAAGAAGCACCTTCTCTTCAGTGAATTACAAAAGTGCTTAAATGCAGTCAAATTACATTGGCATTAAATTTTGACCGTTAAATTTTCGAATGAGTTCATTTAACCAACCGACCTTTAAACAACATTATGAAGGAATGGGCTTCGGATTTTTTGAAAAATATAAAACTTTGGGATTGGATAAGCACGAGCAAAAAGGGCTTTAAAAAGCCACCCAATCACTAACCTGAGTAACGGAATAGGGAAGGCGAAGGCGTGGCCGAAAATTCCAAATGGACAAAAAAGCACAATCAAGGGGTTAATGAGTTAACCTTGGAGGCAAAAAATGCGGTCCTTTGGCTCGTGTCCACCGTGTTATTGAAGCCTATTCACGGGACGCCTGCGTATGATTGGTAAAGGTCGGAGACCAATGAAAAGTCGCTTAAAGTCACACTCCTCCACTATTGGTGAGTGTAAGTGATTTCCAATAACGCCATCTATTTCGATGATAACATGAACAGAATTTGGGGCAATTTAACTGTGTAGCTTACTCTTTTAGATTTAACTATGTAGATGCTTCAGTCTACCCACACTGTTCTTTCCCTCCGCGGGATGGCCCTCGAGCCATGCTGGCAGCTTCCCCAGATCTTCTGTCCCACAGTAATCAAGGACCCTCCCCAGCACTTTGGCTTGTTATACCTTCAGGGCAACCCTGGGAGCTGGTTATTAATTAGCAAAATTGCTTTGTATGAATGGTCATAACTTTTGTTAGAAGGAAATTTATGGGCTGAATACCATCAGTACTGTTCAAAGATGTCCTGCATGTTTTTCTTAGAAATCACAAAGGTAGACTTTGAATGTCCATTCAGTTTTATTCTTGAGTACGACAGATAGTATTTAGTGGACATTTTGGACTGCAAATCGATTGGTTTTTTGATAAGTTGCAGTAAACTCCACCTTTTTCTTATAGACGCAAAGTAACTCGATATTCATACAGCACCGCAGCAGTTGTGTGGTGTCCTCTTCCACCTCTTGATCATTGGAGTGGCGAATCTTTTGACAATAAGTTTGTAGTACCAAGTACCAGGTTTAACAGCGACGTGGCAAAAGTGAAGGACACCCACCACTATTTCACCGTCGTCATGTCAAGCTCACGCATTAGCTTCCCTTTAAAAGTGGCAGCGCTCACGCTACTGATGAAGTCTGGAAGTAGTATGGGTGATACTTGTCGAATCCTTCACCACCAAAGTAGAGATTGGATCTCAAGGGGCTGAGAAGGTCAACGAAATTATTCACAAAGCTGAGCTGCGGCCTTTTTTAACTATTATTTCATTATCTTTCGAGACATCTCCAGTTTGCATTCACCTTGATCGGGCCGTTTCAACTGAAAAGTTCAAGTATCCTGTTGCTAAGATTTAATTTTTAAAGTACTACTACCTACCAACTTGTAAGAAACCTCAATAGAATAAACCAGTCTTTAATGTAGGCCATTAACTTCATGGAATAAATAAGGAAAGCCTCTTAAATTATTCGTTTTTTGCGAAAATAATCAAGATTGCAGTCTATGCGCCCTCTGCAACATGACAAAGAGATGCGGTGAATTCTACCTTTTTCAGGTATTCCCCCCCCCCCCCCCCTCCGTAGAAGGCAAGACGAACCTAGGCGCCCTGTCAATCCTCCATTCCCCTAGCACTTTGATCACATGACTGTCCATTTCGTATGTGATTGAAGCATTATCCAAATGTAAGGGCATTAATCATATGGGGAAATATCAGAGAAGGCAATGAAATAAAGACGAGGTGGCATTTGCCACATAGCTCATGCTAAAGTGCAGCATATTTGATTTAGACGCGCACCACTGATTTCACCACTCATGAAAGTTTTGCGGCACCTTATTTATGAGTTATTTTAAGCCATAGTAATACAAACTCTACTGCCTTCTCTGTGATAGAATAAAGGGATTCCACCTAAACTCGACGCATCTTCCAAGTCAAACTTGTAGAACCGTCTCCGGAAGGTTATATGTGATTCCATAAAAGGTTTCGACACCTTTGAAACTGCATTAATTGAGGATGATTCTTCAAGCAGAGAAAGAGGTGGATTCATACCTGTCAAGATAATTTTAAACAACACTGGTTGATATCAGAGTTCCGAGTCCTCAGTTGAGTCATGACAAAGTAAAAGAGCTGCAGTAACTGAAAAATCCACGCATGTGAACATATCCTATCACTACATAGCTTTCCTTTTCTTCTGATTATCGTCCACTGTACTCTCCTCTGTCAATCTTCTGAGTCGACAAAACAGAAACGCTAGTCACTGGCATTTTCCTGTAAGCGAAAAGACATTTGATGTCCACGTCAACGATGTATCTGAGTGATTTGATTTCATTGTATCCGAAGGATCTTTCCATTCCTGAACCTTACTGGAGGGCGGGGTGGGTGAGAATTAGCAGCATTCGAGGCTCCACAACACGTGCACTTTGTAGGTCAGTCGGGGCAGATACATTCCCCGCCCTATTTCCCACAGCCGCCTTGGTCGCAAATCATTTCTGTCTAGCTATTCATCTGCAAAGACGTTTCATTTGGTCACCTTACTCCAGTACCTTCAAGTACTTAAAGCCTGCAGTTGCCTCATTCGCCAACAGCCCTCCAAAGTTGATGCCTTCCCTTTTTTGACGGCAAGGTTAGATAAGTAACAGCCGGAATAAGGATAGAAGTTTGGAGGGCGAGAGCCCATTTCAAAATTCTACCAAGTTTGTGCCTTGAGTCCCCCATTAAGTCGGCGAACAGTACGGAGGGGGATGTTCTATTAACGCCCAGATAGACCCAAGAGACTAAGGGGTAGAGCCAAAAGCCATGATGCAGAGCAGACGTACAACCCTCAGTGTTTGAACAGTCCGTGTAGCACAAAAATCACCTAAACAATATCTTATTTTACAAGATAGTGTTGGCATAGATAAATTAAAAAACTAGTTCTGGATTTTTCAAACAATTTAGTCTGTTAATTTTTTTCACAGAATAGAACAAGTTTAGAAGCTTTTTGAAGGTTTGCCGAAGGAAAGAGCAACTCGCTGTCGGAGTCGTTAATAGCTTTTCCTGTCATGCCTATACTCTTCCTAGTCCCTCAGCACACCGACACTGAACCACTCTTCCGGGGAATGTCTCTGGTCTTCACATTAGTGGCACCGATAAGCAAGTGCGATCCACTCGATGAACAATCCTGACTTTCATATCTGACTGCCAGTTATAGAAGATCCAGAAGGGAGGCATTCTTCGTGGATGGGTAACTCTGCCCATTGTTACAAAGGAAGGGCCAAAATGATGTCCACACTTGAGAAATCTCCCTTTTGTGCTTTACGCAATAAAAACTAATGTAGGAAGCGTGGGTAGCCTCAAAGAAGGGCATTATTCACCACTAATTGATTAAGTTTCCTTTTTAAGTAATTTCATCACTGTCACCCATCTTGACTCACAAAATTATTGCAGTCAGAGCAGAAGAAAGATTGGGTGTGATGGATGCTAAGGTCGACATCCTGTAGTGGTTTGTTATGGACACACCACTCCCTCTGCCGCATCCTCCTTTTTGTCTCCTAGTATGGCCTTTCTGTACACTGGTGAAGAAATACCTTCCTCCCAAATTGCAGCTTACGACAGTTTCAGGGAGGACTTAAGGGATTCACTACCACCTATTTACCTCTTCATTCATTTTCTGACTTTAATAAAACAAAATGCGGGAGAAAAGAAAGGTGTTTCCTTTTGCGGAGCCCTTCATCAAGTAATCTTTACATCATACAATACTTTAAACCAACTGACCAAAGCCCTGTTAGCAGACCGAGAGAGAAGGGGTAAGGAGGGGACAAAGAAGGGTTTGGCAGCTCATCACACCAAAACCTGTACAAAAGAAGCGTCTTGACATTTCATTACAAATCCATCTAGGTGGGAGACATGAATCAGGGAGGTTACAAAAGAGCGAAACAAAAGAAACTTAGGGTTTATGGAAAAAAAAATAAAAGGAGGGTAAAAAGGACACACGTTTTTGCCTCCTGTTCCTTCCTGAATGCTTTCTTTGCTCCATTTTTCTTCCTTCATTTGCCTTCTTCTCTTGCCCTGGCTCATCGAAACAGCACACCATGACTAATTTGACGCTTTTGCAAGCTGCCTGTCTCTCCACTTTTTGGCCCCGTAAACAGGCAATTTAGAGGCGGCAATTGCGTTGATGCTGTCGGTACTAATGGGGTAAGAACAAAGAACAATACTTTTCACCATTCCCCATGGCTACTGCCCTTTAAGCGCCTTCACTACAAATTCATCTTTGTCTCCCACGATGTTCTGGAAAGGGGCCTATAGGTTATAGATGTGGAAGCTGTGTATGTAAAAAAAGATAATAAAATGTGCTTTTTTCGATTTCGGCGAGTCTCCTGGCCACTGACGAAACACATCCAACCTCTTTTGCAACCTTTCCTAGTAACTAAAGTCAACATTACAGCAAGAGGGCCACCGTTTGAACTGCCAAATGGATTATAATTTCCGCCACTAGCACTGACGATGATTTTCCTACCCGATCTCAGCGTCACACATGTGTGACACGTGTTCTCTACCGATTAACGTTAACTGACTAGACCAAATTATAGAGGGTACAAATAGAGATGTAAAATAGATGTGCATTATTTCTGGCCTTCAGACAGGCTGAAATGGTTAATTTTCCTCTAGGACGTACTACCAGTCTTTCTCTTATTATCAAGTGATTTAAATAATCTCAAGCAGTCTTGAAGGTACGTTTAACTCGTGGACACCTGTTAAATGCTTGATTATTTTTATTTGCGTACATGGTTAAACATAGTTATGCAAATAAGTGACCGCCGAAGTCAGCAAAGGCAACACTCAAAGGAAGGAGGGGTGGAAGGGGGGCCCTGCACATTCTTTTCGTGTGCACTTCACTAGGCCCTAGTGGCCTTGGTTGTTCTTGTTTGAATTTTGTTCCCCAGTTTGGGCTTTCTGACGCTCCGACCGGGCTCTCCATCCCCCTGGAAGGACTTGAGGCGGACAAATACCTTCTATTTAATCGCTTTGTTGCATTCTTATCTTATTGAGAATAAAAAATAAAGTCCTATTTTGAGATGCAGCATCGGTTGATATTTTGTAATTAAGATTTCATTACTTAGTTTTAGTTGTTTTTTAGAACCAAAAAACAGCCATTTAAATCAGAACTTGTGCTGCATAGATGCCAAGATTTTGAATAGGAACTACATAAAATAGTACTAAAATACTCTCCTCTTAGTGCTTCTAATTGCCACTTACATCTGCAATCTATATAAGTCTGAGCTGTGGAGAACATGAGATGAAAACACAAGGAGGTGGAAGAACATACTGTACATCTTCTATGACAAATAGAAGAGGATGAATAACATGGACGATAGCTCTAGTTTACGTATTGCCTAGCCCTTTTAACTTATTTGGTTAAAGCAATTTACCCCCGTTTGTAATCCCCTACTGAATGGCAAATAAGTAGATATTACAAACTAAATTGACGGTTCTGCGTTTTAAACCTAGCTTTCAGAACACGGGAAACCAAACTGCCGTGAATAATTTTAGCGACATTTCTAGCTCATCATTATGCGGACGACGTTCCCTTAATTAAAAAAGAGTCAGGAGTGGTTTTTTTGTTAATGGCACCCGCCCCCTAATCTGATCATTTTGGACCCGCGCGACACCTGCATCACCTCAGCCGTATAGTTCACGGCAAGATGTTTAAGCTCCACATTTGTTTTCACCATTATAATGACACGACGTTTCGCTGATGCAATTTCCGGTAAGATCCCATCATCCCTTTCCTACGCTCATACTAAAGTCTTCTTCATCCTCGAAGAGCTGCAGCCGTAGCAGTACCCACCGAATCTAATGCTCGCTTCAGTGCCCGCATATAAGGATGGGATCTGTCACGGGGGATGCATCTGCACAACTAGTGCCTGATCGCGTTTGTTTCGTAGACGATTTCCATGACTCTGACCACGCTGTGATAGCTGAAGCAGGAGAACAGGCACAAAGTGCAACAAAGATAACCCTTAAGGAGAATGGTAGAATGGATAGTGTGTAATGGAACGATATTGTTTGCTTAACGCGGAACCTTTGGCCGCTAGCGTTCCTCTCACTTACTTGCTCTCCTGACACCCATTTTCACGTCACCCCTGTTTACAACCTACGAGCTACTCCTCACACGTTTACAGCTTGTCATAACTCATCCTTAAGGCTTTCAGGTGGAACGCAGAAGCCATATACAGCAAATAGTGCCAATCATAACTTCTCCTGCAGGGGGCGCTGATATTCTAATAAGTAGGTCGTAAATTAAATTTCAGAAAAGGAGAAGGAGCAAGCTGACTTTGCGAATGTATTGCAAGCTCAAATTTGACCCCTATCACAGAAAAAAGTGGTATTTTTTGGTTCCGTGGACCTGGAACCCTGTCAACTAGGTAAAGTAATGTCTGAAGGGGGGAGGGGTTAACTCTTAAAAAATTGGGAAGTAACAAACTCGGAGACGTCACGATTCTACAAAAAAAGAGCATAACCAAAAGTTATTTTAAACTTAAAAAGTAGTTAAAAGAAAATTTGCCCTGCTGCATCACAGTGTTTGAAAGCGATCAAGAAAGACCTAGGCCTTTGTTTTTCCTTCAACCAGACTACTTACAATGCTATTTGATTTTAGACAAGTCACTTGTGATTAAGGATTTGTCCTAATCACATCCTCTGTTTATCTCAATTAAACCGCTCAGAAATTTTTTTTCCTATTCTTCTAAAAAGCAATGAAAAAAAGGTGCAAAACATTCACAATCAGCGAAATCGTGGCGTCATTTTCGGCCACCTTTTTGTCATACCCCTATTCAGATCCCACCCGTGTTGAGATCACGTTTTTCAAAGGTGATAACTTTGCTTACGACGGTTCAGTGATTCATCAGCACCTAGTTAGTCGTATGAAGGCGGGCTTTAGGCATGATGATAACATTGTTGAAACGTGATTGACTGACAATGACCTGGTTTTTTCCAATTAATGTAAAACAGGCCTTCATAACTGGGGTGTCACACGGTTGGCTGTATGATGTAACACAAAAGCCTGTAAAATCCTACTCCTGACTCGCTTTTACCATGAACTTAGCTAGTTAGCCGGTAGTTCCAAAAGACTCACACGCAAGTAAAATGATGATAACAGCAGCAAATCGAGTAATGAAGTAGGAGCCAGGACTAAACAAAGTATGATGGCTGCATAAGGCATGTAATATAATGAACAAGCTGCAGGACCCAGAAATACTTTATCGGCTGAGTTTAGAGAAAAACAAGCCTTGATACACGGATGGGCTGTTATGAATGAAATACGTTCTAATCAATGCAAGGTATAAATTAGTGGACAGGGTGCGTCGCCA